ATGCAATCTGTGCCGTACAGGTCTGGACCCAGCTGGTCCCAACTTTGAGGGAGCCCAAGCCCACGGGCGGCTTTCCCCGGACGACGCCCACTTCGTCGACGTCCTGCACACCTTCACCCGCGGTTCCCTGGGCCTGAGCATTGGCATCCAGCAGCCCGTCGGCCACGTCGATATTTACCCCAACGGAGGCATCTCCCAGCCAGGGTGCAGCCTTCGCAGAGCTCTGGAGAAGATCACAGCCAATGGCTTGTTCGGTGAGTTCAAGGTCGTTCCTTAGCCAGGGCTTGTTCCTCAAGCCACTCACTCACACATTTATTATAAAACCAAAGTTCTTTTCCATTTCGATGTTTGATTACTTGAAAAAAGGTGAAGTCTCATTCTTACAGCATTACAGAAAAACAACAGCTACAGTATGTAGAGCAAGCAAGTACTTTTTCAAAGAATGTACAGCGATAATGACAATTATTAATCAAAAATGAGTGTAATTTCATCCAAACTATTAAAACACAAAAAGAAATGCACTATCCTGGTCTCAGCTCACCTTGAAAGTCAGGCAGCTTTCCAAACCTGGCTGGGAGATCTGCAGTCTGTCCTTAAAAGGACAAAAGCATATTCTGACAATCGACACAAAGCAGAACCCTCTGCCTTATGGACAACAGTTAAATAATCCATAGCAGCCAGTGGGTATATAATATTGCTAGTTAACATGCTCATTTAATGAACCAGTTTTTGCCAATCAGTCCCTTGTCTGAGTGTCAATGTTTTGGCTCTTATTCGAACAATCATATGGTTCAGATGTTTGAAAACAAACAGCCCTGGCCAAAATCTCTAATGAAACTCCACTTATGCATAGACACCACCTACAGTACCACATTCTAAGTACAGTCATCCACTAGGAAAGTCATACTCCCACAACAAACGAGAGCAGTTAAATATCAATGCCTTGTTTTTCCCAAGATGTGATGCAGGAGTTGAAACTTTTTTTCTACCTCAATGTTATTAAGTAGACCTACTTTGGTCCAAACAAAATTATAAATAAAGCTTGCGTGTTATATGAAAGTGAACATCTTAAGGTAAAACACTGTCACGTACCGTACAAAGAGAAAAACTTGTTTTTCTTTTGACATTTCCCCACTCTGTCAGTTTAAGAGGTGTGCTCCTTTTTGAAGAATCCCTGCATTGCTTTGGCATAAACACCTTTTAAAGAGATCTCATGGTGAAAAAAGGATAACAGAGTCAAATAGGTTGTCTGTTTAATTCTCCCTATTGTACACACTCCTGCCACCCATTTTCCACCTGGTTATATCTTAATTAATATTGGGTAGCCCTGGTTTACTGATAATGTGGGTCTGTGAAACCGTTGGTTAACAATGACAAAACAAGGGAGGCATGATGGTGCAGTGGTGAGGACTGCTGCCTCACAGCACTGGGGCCCTGGGTTCAATTGCGGAACTGGGATGCTATCTGGGTGGAATTTGCATGTTCTCCCCATGTACTCAGTACAGTCCACCCACAGTCCACAGATATGCTGGTAGAGTAATTGGCTTCTGGAAAATTGGCTCTGTGATGGACTGGCATCCCACCCAGAGTGTGTCTGCCCTGCGATGGACTGGTGTCCTGTCCAGAGAGTATCCTGCTTTATGCCCATTGCTTTTTTCGGGATTGGGTCCGGCTCCCCTGCATCCTTGAATTGGATGAAGCAGTTAGAAAATGGGTGGATGGCTTGACGATAAAACTCTCCTCACACTCCTTGGTGAATCCTTGGGGTGTTCTGCTCTCTCACCGGTTTCCTGGCGCTAACGGCCGCCTCTCTGCTCTTCGTGCGCCCAGGCGTGTCCGACGCGGTGAAGTGCCAGCACGAGAGGTCGATCCACCTCTTCATCGACTCTCTGCTTCACGAGCGCGAGGCTGCCCAGGCCTACCGCTGCAGCAGCGCGGACGTGTTCAACCGCGGCTTCTGTCTCAGCTGCCGCAGGAACCGCTGCAACGCGGTGGGCTACAGCGCCAGCCGGGTCCGCCACCGGCGCAGCACCAAGATGTACACCAGAACCCGGGCAGACATGCCGTTCAGAGGTACTGAGCGAGAAGGATGTCCTCTCTTCTCTTCGCTGGCCTGGACAGCTATCGCAAGAGTTGTCTCAAAACTGCTGCAAGGCTTTTATTACATTAATTTAGGTCCTCCTTTCACTGGCTTTAATTAAATTTAGATTTACCCTTTGTTTGGTGTTTTGATGATCAAAAGAAGCTGAGAGCAGAATATCTTCAATTTTTATAGATTCATAGTAATACTGATGTAACAGATTTAGTTGCACTTGGCAAAGAGTTCATCCTGTTGCTTTGGATTTAGGAAATTTTGCTCATTTCCACTATGCTGGCGGGTTGCTAGTTGCTCTTCCTTCTTTCCTCTTCAGTCTATCACTACCAGCTGAAGATCCATCTCCTCAACACAGCAAAGCGATCAGAGATCAAGCCCTTATTCACTGTCTCTCTGTACGGAACCAAAAACGATGCCGAAAATCTTCACCTCAGCACGTAAGTGTTTCCAGTGACCGAGAGCACCACACCTGCTGTTCAGAGTGGTGTGTTTTTCTGAAACCAGCTGCACAGCCATGATGTTGTTGCTGGTAAAGAAACAGCCTCACAGGTTCCCTGGATCGATGACTAACCAAATGAGCTAGCTGTGCCAAAAATGCTTTCTGTCATCTGTAACTTTTCTTATTTTCTTAACTACCCACAAGATACCATTTTCAGTCTTAAAAGGCAACCGAATTAAACTGTTACACGGCATTCCTCGCATAAGTAAAGAAGCTTCCCTTTCCTGAGATTAGAGCTCATAATCTAATCAGCAAGAACGTGCAGCACACAACTGGTATCAATCGCAGAATGAGAAATGAATCTGTCCACCCACCTTGCTCCCTATCAGCCTGGAAGGGTCACTAGACATCTGGAGTTGCGTGCAAAGTTTTGCAGTTGTCTCAGTGCTTACCTGGGGTCCACGTCTGTCACAGGGAGAAGCTTTCTCCCAACAAGACTCACTCTTTCCTGCTGGTGACGGAGGTGGACATCGGCGATCTGCTGATGCTGACACTCAGATGGGAGCCCTCCAACAGCTGGTCTCCATCCTCCCTGGTGAGGGCCGTGTCATCCTGGTGGTCCAGCAAAAAGCCTGCCGGCTCCAGCATGGAGATCCGAAAGGTCCAGGTCAAAGCCGGGGAATCACAGAAAAAGTAAGCAAGGCCTGAATCCACGTGTTTATGCTCCTCAGATTTTAGGTCAGCAAGCAGGGAAAGACTTGTACCAGGAAGGCAATACTCCAGCATAAAAAGATTTGATGGACAAGTGGGCTTATTGTTAAAACTGGGATTGGGGGATTGGGGCCGCATACTTTACCTGGCTTTCTGCTTCCTGGCTGCACTCGTTCAGAAAGTACAAGATGAAGCGCTTGGGCACCTAGTAATGCAATGTAGGAGGGGGCCCTGGATAACTCTTTGCGGGTACAAACAAAACAAATTAAAACGGGCCGTCCCATGTGACTGTTTCGTTTCAGGATGGCTTTCTGTGCTAAAGATGTCCGCACGCTGGCTCCTTCCCAGGAGATCACTTTTGTCAAGTGCCAAGATGAATGGAACTCGGGGTCAAAAAGGTGATTTTCGAAACTGTGCGGTCCCGCGGAGGAATGGTTATAGATGCCTGTGCACATACTGCGCTGCCAGGTATGCTTGATAGACCTTCATTTTGAAGTCTAATTTCAGAAAGTCCTTGATGCAGATATGCTTAATTCAAAAAGGCATGGTTACAGTGCATTTCATAATCAATGGCCAAATTTGCCCTTTACCAATCATGGCCTCCTAATAAACCCCATCCATAAACTGGCTTCATTACTCTATTCTCCTCCCCACTGAGAGCTGGTGTGTGGGGGGAGTGTACTGGCGCACTCTGGCTGCCGTCACATCATCCAGGTGGGGGCTACACATTGGGGGTGGAGGAGGGGATCCCCATTACCTGTAAAGCGCTTTGAGTCGAGTGTTCAGAAAAGCACTATATAAGTGTGAGGAATTCCTTAAAAATGAATACATCCTTATCATAAACATAAAGTATGAATTTTTTTGGAAGACTGTCTTATCATATTAAATCATGGTTGTTATTATCGTTGCAGGAACACAGAAAAGACATGAGGAAACAGAGCTGTGTGGATCATTCCATTCCCCTGTTCTGAAAATGCACTTAGCAATAAGCTGTAGCCAGCCTTAACTATTGTTTGTTATGGAAGAAAAAAAGCTATTTATTTGTATATATTGTACAAAGGTCCATGTCAACTACTACTGTATGTAAATAATCTGTTGTATTTTGCAATGGTACTTAAAGACAATTCTCAGATATTGCATATGGATATTTTTATACATATAGCCACCCAAAGAGTCTGTTCTTATGCAAGGTTTTCTGTGGTTTTGAGATTTAATATACAGAAAAAGGATTTGCAATCGACTTGAATCATAAGGCACTGATCATGAGAGTTTCTTAAATATTTTTATATTACAAAAAATCGCAAACTACCTGCTCAAGAGTTATGAACTGTGAAGGTCCACTGGGTTTTTTAATAGTAAAAACAAAAATGACAAAACTACAGCAACAAAAGGGGGTCTTTCTTGAAATAGGCAGCAAATAGCTTCCCAAATAGTTTTTCATTTGAAGTCAGTCATGTTAGTAGTTGGACTGGCATCCATTCAGGGTGAACCCTGCCTTGTGCCCGTTGCTTGCTCCAACACAAATTGGTGTAAAAGTGGTTAGAGAATGGATGGATGTTTGTAGTTGTTCCCCTTTAAAATTTAAAATGAAAGACAGAATAAAAAAGCCTGCCTTTAACATGTGAATGGATTAGGTCTCATTAGAAAAAAAATCACCTTACTAGATGAGACATGAACAGCAGTACACTTTCTGTTTCTAAATTAGAAAGCACTTACAGTACAAATGTGTTTCATTTTGTGCTGTAGGGAGTTTTTATAAAGTGCTTTAAAATACTTGACTCTGTTACAAGTGCATAGCTTTCCATTATTCATGCACTGTAGTTTATCTGCATAGACAATCCTGAAAGTCTCATTTGCTGCTTTTAGAAAAGACCCAGAACAATCAGGTGACCTGTGCACATTCATAGACACAATTTACTATCAGTGTTTCAGGCACCAGTGCAAGTCGAGGAACTACAGTTCTGACACTCCAAATGATAATAGCACAGACCAAAAGGTGTTTCCTGTTTTGTCTTCAATTGTCTCTTTTTCCTAGGTCAACTGGATCGAACAGCTTGAATGCTTGTTGTATCTGTCCATTTATTCTCCAAATTAACTGCTTAGTATTTTATGAAGATCAGCATACTCTCTTTTGACATGACACGTCATGTGTTTTGGATCATGAAGAGTTCAAGTTCAAATCATTGATTATTCTTCACTTGTTATTTAAATAGTTCAGATTTCAGTTGTGGTGGGTTGATTTCTTGTTACCACTAGCTGGAATGGAAGAATGGAAGATAACTTCAATACTTTAATAATTCATTATTGACTACATATATAATATAAATTTAAATAAATTAATAATTACTTTAATAACTGGAAGAGCACTGTATTCATCTGTTGTTTGTGTTATGCGCCCTTAAGGACAAAAAAAAATTAATAATCAAAACAAATATATTTATTCGAAGTGGGCAGAAGGTGTAAAAACTATCCAATGGCACCAGAGAGTTAATTATTAACTGTTATTGTGAAAAGAGAAGAAAATAATCAAATGGAAAATAAATGGTTAATGTTTAATAAACCTTATCTCAGTTTATAATGTATCAGTTTAATAATGAATAGAACTGAGCTTCCTGCATATGTTTGCACATGTATTATTCTCAGTATTTGAGAGGGATGCATCTAAGTTCTGATTTTTTCATCTTTTTTGCCATTCCAACTCTACACTTGTGTTGGAATAGCAGGAAAGATCAGAAGTACTTTTGATCACTGGTGCTTGTAGAGATTTATTTATTTTAGCAGTGTTGTTACAGATTGTACTGCAAGGTCCCAGATGGCCAGTGCAACACTAGAATTTTAACATGTTTATACTGTGTTCATATTGATGTAAAATTGAGAATGATAGCGTCGACCATTTATGTATATATGTTTTGTTTATAAGGGGGTGGGTTTCACAGACTAGTAAGAAAAACAAAACCTGCTTTTGTAGCCTCACTGTATATAACTACACATGTGTTTAAAATAAAATACATCCTAATGATTGTCCAGGCTAAGAGTCTCCTTTAGTAATATAAGAAAAAATACACAACAACACTTTTCACAAGTGTACAACAAGGAAATATTCTCAGGTCAGTAAGGACAACAGGGAAAAAATGCCTTTTCCCTTTTGGCCACAGTGCTGACAGATAAGTTCAAGGTTTTGTCTCAATGCACACCTGCGTCTGCTGACAAGGTGCCTCTTTACAGCCTGAGGTAATTCTTTCAATGTCTCAGAGATTACAGAGGCCAGCCACAGTGTTACCAAAGCAACATAGATTAAACTTAAAGGGCGAAACCCTTCCTTTCGGTTGATACTCTCCCTCCCCTTAATTGCTAAAGCATGTTCCCCATTAGACGTACAACTATCAATGTTTATACTCTGCAGTTCAAGGAAAGTGGAAGGCTTTTGCTAAAACTTCACATTGTATCGACCTGCATTAGACACAAAAGTCAGGTGTCTTTGTGCTACATGGCCCATTCAAGGAAATTTCACACCATGCTAGTGCAGAGCTTTCCATCAGAATCACAACTCATTATGTTTCTGGCCTTCTTTTTTCAAGATGTTTGATTTATAAAGCACTACATTTTTAAGAAACTGGGCATCGGGGCTATTCTGATGCTAGAGGAATAGTCAAATTTGTCCCGAGGTGTGAAAGATGGCTGTGACTGAGCGGTCAGTCAGAACCCTCTATGCATTCTGAATGTGCTTGTACACTGCTTTCATTAGATTTGTTGTCCATTGATCACAGTAATACTTCCATTATTCTGGTTGATTTAGAACACAAACACTTCTGGGCAAATAACTCCACAGGCCCTGATGTTGGGCCAATTTGTTGACAAGTAAAAGAAATACGAAGCAACAAAACAGTACACTGGGAAAAACACAGAGGAAGACTGGTTTTCTCCTTTCAGTGTTTAGGATTGACGTGCGTGTGGTGAGAAAGAGAAGAAGAATGAGCTCAGTCCTGTCCTGAAGGCTGGCGTCTCCCGAACAAGAACACAGTGCTGGCCATCATGGCAGACAGCGTCAGGATAGCCAGGAGAATGCCCCACCAATGTGCCTACAGAATCGAGACAGGGAAGTTAGGATTCAGCAGACAGTACCAGCTATAAGTGGGTAATTGGAAATCCTGAGGTTGAATGCAGATAAATCACCTTTCCTGTGATGAATAACACCTTTCAATATCAGGTTTTCACCATAGACCTTGTACCCGCCACTTAACTGGGCTTAACACTCTCAAACTGCACTAAATGCTATGAACAAAGCTAGAGTGCAAAACCAAGAATCCCAGTGAGCTTTTTAAAAGAACTACAAACCAGTAAGTGGAAGCGAACCACCCACCCAGCTAGAAGAGCCAACCCCCAGAAGAACTTGCCTTCATCCATTCTGCCAGGTCATCAAACTCATTGAGGTGGAGGAAGGAGTTCTTCAGCCGGGCAATAGGTCCATCCGCATCCAGCAGGCGACACACGTTGAATCTGTCGCAGTAGCCCTGCTTGCCGGAGCAGGGGGTGCCGGGCAGCAGGGCTAGGCGCGCGCCGCTGAAATACTGGGACAGCACGGATGACGTGGTGCTCGCACAGGTTTCTGGCTTGCCTGCACATGAACACACAACTGCATAAGAACGGGGGTCTTGCATGGTACATCTTTCAGGTTGGCGGTGTGCTCTAAGAGAATGCAGATGTAAGGAACTATGGGAATACATTACCCAGATGTTTTGTAATGCTGATATTATATCAGTTCTGCATTTTCCATAGATAAACTCTTAGATATTATATAAATCGAGTGGCTTATATAGAATATAGAAACAGAGGGTGCAAAGCAGAACCAGGCCCTGGAAAAAAACTACCAGACGCACACAAACACAACAACAGCTCAGACGCACAATTTAGAGAAACCAGTTAACCTAGCCAGCTGGTTAGGCTCCTTCTTAAACGGAAAGTCATTGCGAAGGTACTGGTATCTTCATGAGATGGAAGCTGTTTAACCATCCAGATTAATCCAGATTAATCACACACCTCAGTCAGATGCAGAGGAGCCTTTAACACGCTAGGAGGGTCTGTCCCATACCTGGCTGTTGGCAGCACAGATAGCACTTTTCACTCATGGAGTTCCCAAGACAGTCACACTGCTCCAGGCCATACTTCACACACAGCGACCGGCCACACTCCTGAAGAGAGGAAACACAGCATGACCACCCCACTCTGACGACACTTACATCAGCAGCACTTTAGTTCACAGTGCCGGATAAGGGTGTTACTACCAAATAATATTATGGCAGCAATTCTACAGCGTTAATCGTAACATACCTGGTATTGGTTGATAAAATACACAAAGCAACTGCATGGTTCATTCTGTGTTTAATATTATGCTAATAATTCAGTTTTACTGAATTAAAACACTTTTCTACTCTTTCATTGTAAGTTCTGTTCTCTTTTCAAACACCTGACCAGATTCTACAGGAGAGATGGACACTTCCAATCTTCTGTGTCACAGCCTCTTGTCCTTATTAATGGAACTAATTGTTTGAACAACAGGTCACATCATTGGGTTTTGAAGTGTAAATCACAAGCTAATTTAAACGTCCCTGTTAAATCATGCAGGGATCTGGCCTTTGAGGACTAGAGTTGCCCTATATCAGAAGTACTGAGTTCAGTATTATCTTGAGTTCTGCAAGGCTGTCAAAACACCGTATTTCTGGTTGTGGCTTATACTCACGGACAGCTTATATGAAGGTAAATACAGTCTTACCCTGCTGCACATTCCTATGCTACATGCTAAAAGTGTGCAGAAAGGGCTAAAGAACTATTCCCTTGGTAGGTGTTTTTGTAGGTGAGTTTTTGGGCACCCACCCCCTTGGTACAGATGCGTGTTCCCCGGCCGCAGACGGTGGTGTTGGGCTTGGAGGCGGGGGTGGGGCAGGCGGCAGCGGATCCAGAGCAGGAGATTGCCAGCTGGCACTCGGACTCCTCCTTGCAGACCACTCCAGGGGGCCTGAGGACACACTGGGAGCTGCAGCAGGGCCCTTGACTGGGGCTGGAGGCACAGGGGGCATCAGTAACGTTAAGCTGGGCAAGAGCTCTTCTCTTCTGGCACTTTCAGCCCACCCACGACATCATCCTGTGACCCCAATGGCAGGTGGTTTACGTTCCAGCTGAGGTATTGAGTCTTTATATGATCCCCAGATTTAACTCACTAAACAAGTTGTCATTTGTTTCAGATCTGCAAATGAAAGAGATTCTAAAATTCACATGTTCAAATATTCCTATGCGGCGACTATAATTTGCCAGGAGCAGAACGCGGTTAGTTTGTGGTTTATTAACTGAATGAAGGGTTCAATCCAGCTGGAATGAAAACAAGAGGAGGTCTAGGAAGCTCTGATCTAGAATTTTGGTCACTGTCATGTCCTTTGCTTCATGTTCCTTTAGTATTTTTTGCTCGTGTAAGAGACAACTAGGTGGGAAAAGGATGGCAGTTCATGTCAGAACCACAGTCCTCAGAGAGCTGTGGCGAACGACCTGCCATCCTCAGTCACCTTACCCACTGGTGGAAGACAATTGGTTGGGTGACCGTGTTTGTTGTGGTTTTGTTTTTCATTGTTTTTCCTTTGCTGTGTGTAAGCAAAAGAGGATTAATTTAACTTTTAATAATAATTCCTTACACTTACATAGCACTTTTCTGGACTCTCCACTCAAGGTGCTTTACAAGTTATGGGGACTCCCCAACACTACCACCAGTGTGTAGCCCCCATGTGGATGTTGCAACGGCAGCCATAGTGCGCCAGTACGCTCCCCACACACCAGCTCTCAGTGGGGAGGAGAGCAGAGTGATGAAGCCAATCAATAGATGGGGAAATGTGGCCTGGACACTGGGGTTAACACCACTTTTTGTTTCAGGAAATGCCCTGGGATTTTTAATGACCATGGACAGTCAGGACGTTGGTTTTAAGTCTCATCTGAAGGACAGGGCCTTTTTACAATATAGTGTCCCCATCACTATACTGGGGCATTAGGACCCACAAAGATTGCAGGGTGAGCGCCCCCCTGCTGGCTCCACCAACACCTCTTCGAGCAGAAGCCCTAGCTTCCCCAAGTGGTCTCCCATCCAGGTACTGGCCAGGCTCACACCGCTGAGCTTCACTGGGCTGCCAGTTGTGAGTTGCAGGGTGATGAAGCTGCTGGCTATAAAAAGGTCAACGTTACAGCACCCTGCTCCCAGCTGTACCACACTCAGAGCTAGCTCAGGATCGGCAAAACAGCTCCTCATGTACGAATTGTGTGTCTGCAATGACTGTTTTGTACTGAACCCAAAGGACGAGACCACTGGGAGCAGGTAGCTGGCACCTGCATTGCTTGTGAGGCTTGAGCTTGCATTGGATGGTCCGTGGCTGGTTGGCACTGTAGCAACAGGGGTCGCTGTCGTTGTGACCCACATCACACTCTTCCCCTTCCTCTGCTATCTGGTTCCCACAGATGGGCTGGTCAATCACTGCAGAGATGAGTTACACAAAGGCAATGCAGCAGTGGTGACACTCATTTCAGAACTAAGATAAGGTATTGCTTTGAATCAGAAATCCAAAACTACAGTTGTTTTTTCCAATTCACACCCTAATTTGGAAGAGCTGCTAGCTCCCTCACCGGTGAAGCCAAAGCTTTTCACATTATAAAATTTCCCGATTCTTCAAGGTCATCATGAGGTTTAACGCCCTAGTCAGTGTTTGAATAAATTCATTTTTTATCAGTTTTCCAAACTGATGTTTTTGTTCATTTTCTGGAATGCACTCACGTCAAGGACTTTCACATGATAACTTTCAGGAAACTTACTGATGACTTATTCAAGCCCTGCATTCAGTTTTCTTATGACAGTAATGGCCTTCCTGATAAGTGGTTTACAGGATGTCTATATCTTATTACCCAAAAATCCCACGTCTCTTGCCATCCTCAATGACACAGCTGTCACCTTACCTACGAAGCACTGGTCCTTCTTGGCTCTCAGGAGTTTGCTAATGAGCTGAATGCTGCAGGGTGAGAACTTGTCATTATTCTCCTGTCTGTCATTAGACGCTTGTGGGAACATCAAATATCTTCCTTTTCCATCGAGGGAGCCTAGTTCCCCACAGTTGGACCCCTCATCGTGCTGAAACACAAGTTATAGTAACAGCTTCACAGATAGTAACACCCCCGTTAAAGAAGGTTGTACTGAGCATTTTCCTGTGGGCGTCTTCAGGACCAGCAGAGAATCAGGAACCTAGGGACACTGGGAAAAGTGGGAACTAAGAGGATATGGATTTCAGACTGAAATAAGAAACCCCTCGTTCTTCTGAAAGAATTTCTGATTTGAGAGGATCTGAAACAGAAAGCCCAGCTATGTTTTTAAAGCTGTTCTCTAGAAACAGATGGACAGAAACCTCCTCTCCTTTCCTTGATAGAAGATGAAGGACCTGATTAAACGCATAGCTTTAATTGGATTGGATTATTTAATTAACAAAATGTAACCCTCCCCTAATGAGCTAATGAGCATCATCGACTCTTTTGTTTTCACTTTGTCATTATTTTGTCAAACAAAAATAAATTTGCAAGATCACAAAGCAATCAGCTCTGTGGAAATGGTATTCTAACACCCGGCATTAATTTGCAGTCATTTTTCCTCGACACAGTCTCTATAATCATTCATTAGACAGACACCTCACGTCCTCCACGTGACATTAAGAACAGCTGTGAGGGTTTGGTGGCCAATTAAGGGTGATTTCAAAGGACAGGAATCTATTAATACTGGAAAGCTTAGCATAGATTTTAAACGTAACATGTAAGGTGCAACTGGCCCAGTCTCTCTCCACTGAAGACGACAAATGCCACATGGACAGTGACATAAACAAAGTGTACTGTCAGTGTATCCAGGACATCAGGTAAGGATTGAAGCACTATTGATTTATAAAGGACTACTAAAAGGCAGGTGATACAGGCACAGCAGAACAGATGTGGTTGTTTGTTTTAAGCATGAGAGATCACTGACTCAGGATCCACTGCCAGCTGAATGACGGGGAACATCAGAGATGGAAATACATGAGAAGCATTAGGGGAAAGGTCAGTGGTAACTCACAAGGAGCAGCAGCACCGATGGGGACAGACTGATTGAAACTACCATCCCCATGTAGGGACTGGGGAAACAGCGATGCAGGAGGTCTGTCATTAGCATTAGAAAACCTGCTGCCAAGCTTCACTGCAAAGCAGTTATTATCAAGAAGAGTGCTGACCTCCGAGCCATGAGCCAAACAAGCTCTCTCTGAAAACAGCAGTGCAAAGGGAAACAACAGAAGTCTTTTAATACAAAAAGGCTAGAAAAGATAACTCGGTGCTTTACATGAAAAGTGCAGGGAAAACCTTGCTGTTCACACCTTTTCTCCTTGCAGGCTCCAAATACAAATAGTAAGTAGTGTACTCACCGGCGCGCCCAGGCTGTGGCCCAGCTCGTGGGCTATGGTGAAGTGCACCATCCTTGCAGGAAGATACTGTCCGTAGTTCTGCAGTGTGATCAGGCCTGTGTTCAGGGATGCAGAGGAGCCGTCTTTGAACTTGGCATACTTGGAACATATTCCCCCCGAGTTCCCTGAAGAAAACAGACCTCCAGCAGCTTAGAGACAGAACTGTCTTCGTTGCCCATAATAATAAATATTTTGGCATATACTGTATATTGCTTTCTATCCTAAAGGGGACCTACATCATCCTCCACAGACTGTGCCCCCACCTGGGTGAGGTGCTGCAGCTGTTCTGCACCAGCTGTCCCATTGCACAGCAAGTCAGGTAGAGGAGTGAGACATTGCTTCACCAGCTGAATTGAGGTAGGTTGCACTGTGAAAGCCCCGAGGAGAATTCAACCAGTAGACCAGGGTTAACAACCTAGACTTTCAGAATCATGGGTTCAGTCAGAACCTTGCTTTCATGTCTCATCCAGTGTTTGGAACCTTCTATAGCACAGTGTCACTGGTCACCATACTGGGATATTATTTCCACCAATACCACTTACACCAGTAACCTGCGTTTCTTTGAGATCTCCCAATCCCAGTACCAAGCAAGCCCAACCTGTGAGATCTGATGAGATTGTGCTGTAAATTGGCCATGCTGTTGTCATAAAAGGTGAACAGCAAAGCTGTCAAGCTGAAATTCAACTCAGAAATGAGAGCAGCCCAAAAGCATGGATAAGCACAGCAATGGCTTCCAAATCCATTTCGTGTTTTACTCTGTTGATCCCAGCCAACGAATCTTCAATACAGTTAGACAGTGACATAGCCTCTCCAGCGTGTCAAGGCTTGATCCCTATATTATTATTTTGAGAAAATGCTGTGTTTTCTGTTTAAATACACCAGTGGTGAGGATGAGAGAGCCCACATTGTTAGATACATATGGTTAGGAGCAATCTGTTCTCCCCAGGAGAGCTAGTCACAAAGCAGGGGTCTAATGCCTGGAACGCCTTGCAGTGCTGGGGCCCTGGGTTCAGCTCCTGGGGTGCAGTCTGCGCAGAGTCTGTATGTTCTGCCCGTGTTCATGTGGGTTTTCTCTGGGTGCTCCAGTTTCCTCCCACAGTCCAGAGACATACTGGCGGGCTTCTGGGAAAACTGGCCCTGGAACTGAGCTGGAACCCTGAGGCTTACTGTAGTGCTTTAGAATGGGCTTTCACCACCCTCCCCCTCACTTTCACAGTCACCTCCCTTGGGATTTTCTTTATTTTCTTTTTTGATTAATACAAAAAATGAGTCTTCTAGCGGGAGTAGAAGCCATGAGTGAGCACCTTTGTCTTCTTGGCTCAAGTTACTGTAGGTGGTCTCCTGTCTCCACTGGCAGACGAGTCATTTTCAGTCAAAAGACAACCACCCACATACACACACTCCCCCCCACCCCCATCAGACGGCATGGAGTTTCACAGGAACAGAGCTACATCAGCACATTTTTTTTGTTAAGTAATACAGTAACAGATTAACTTGTTCACATTGACTAAGTATCTCTTGTAAAACTGAAAAAAACACAGAACAATATACAAGTTACAGACTCCCCCACAGAAGAAGGCCAGCAACAAAGCACTTTCCTGCGCATGCAGGTAAAATCAAAGCACAATCTAAGCTAAATCAGCTGTTTTTTTTATATAACAAATTTCTTAAAAGGCTAATCCAACTCAGAAAGCAGTTTTCTATGTATTCTATGCAGGCAGGACAGGAGATAACAGACAAAAAAACTCACTGAGACCGCAACAAATCTGGTATCTGTCATATCAGTAAAAAGCAGCCTGTCTCAGACACTGAAATCCATGAAGGATATTTTTTCCAGCATAGTATTACAGCAATATTGTTGCAGAAATCTGAGATTTGAGTCATTTATCTCCCCCAACAAATTTCTACAGCTCTCTGAAGAACAGGAATACAAACTATCCCTATCTTTGTAAAACCACATAAAGGCAGATGGAAAGCCATAACAAAATCATAGCTGTTTTAATTAAGGACTGGGGCTATTTCTTCTTCAGGAACAGCACTGGCTTCAGTTCAAAACCCTGTTCCAACCAGCCTTGCCTGCTCCCTATGGAAACACGGCGTGAACTCGAGCAGTGTTATATAATGTGACAGCCCTGATATCTACCAGTGATAAATAGACCGCCTTCTTTACACATGAAGTCATTCCCAGAATTCTGGCTGTGCAGGGGATGCAGTGAGAGCGCTGTGGAGAAAGTCGTATGTTTAGTTTTCCTTTGAGGTGTTCATTGCTCTTCAAAGCACAGAGTTTGGTTAAGTGCAGGTGTGTCGGACTGGAGCCTATCCCACCTCCAAATACACGTCACACCCTTATTGATCTTCCTGGAGGTGGGTCAGGGATGGGAAGAGAATGGGGAGTGGGCCCTAGGCCTGACTATAACCTTTCCTATGTTCTTATCAGGGGCACCTGCACCTCTTTACCCAAAGGGTTGTGGGAGCATGGAACAAGCTACCCAGGCCATGTTGTTGATGAATTCCTGAACTGGACTGGGCTAGATGGGACAAATGACCCCCTCTAGTCATCACGCATGGCTGAACTGCCTTGGCAGTGACAACCAGTTCTAAAACCTTGCGCAATGGTGTGGTTAATTAGGTTTTGTTCGGTGTGTGTTAGAGTATCAACCAACTAACAGATTCGGAAGGGATACAATCGCAAGCTTTGGCTTCCCAGAAGGGGCAAATCCCTCCTAAATACCTGTATAATTTCTCAATTTTACCATTTCTGACAGGGACTGTAAACATAACTACATAAACTGGGGTGATCCCACTACAACTGAAGGACCTGGTATGCTTAATTAGGTAGAAAAGCAACCAACGTTCCTTCAATATTTTACTCACAGAAACAGAAAATAACCTTTTCACATTTTCACATGTACTTATTCACTCATTCATTTATGCTTTTATGAAAAATTACAGTTCTTCCACTGTGACCAATGAAAAAATAAGTGCATTCCATTCCTTTAAAATTACAAACTTTAAAATTACTTAACTTTATCACATTATGATTATCCACTGTATATATAGTTCTTTATAATCTTAATAAACCTCAATTGTGGCAGACGCCATGAGGACTTTACTTGATGTTGGAAACCCCTTGGGAATCTGGTCATTTTAACGAGTGACTTAATTGCACTTATTAAAACTTGTTGAAGAGGGAGAAATGAAGGAGCGCTCTCTGTGACAAAAGCCTCTATTCATTATGTGCCTGAAGTTTTTTTTGGCAGGCCTGGTTTCAAAGCTTTAAAACATCATAGTCTTGTTTGGGTTCTCGAACTGGTGCGATTTAGAGAAGGGCACATCACAATACAGTCATTAAACAAGTGTTGAGTTTTTCTAATTGGGAACTGGTGCACAGCGATTACTGGGTTGATCTACAGGTTTCATAGAGTGCAATACCACAGATCTAAACCTAACAGTGTACTACAAACACACCTGTTTGCCACGACTTCAGAATACAGTGCAACCCAATTCAATTGACCCGCAAAAGCTACTGCCTCAGGCTAGGCTTTGTGTCACTTTAGGGATATGTGAATTAAACCCAGATTCCCTTGCATTCAGATATTTTTAAGTCCTCCTTTATGGCTGTGAGCATCAAAGCAAACCAGGCAGAAAAGGAACTGTATTAAGATTCCCCTCACATATATCTGAAGAGCACGCATTCAATTCAGTCTGCTGGTGCAAGAGGCTGCACTTATTTGCAACATGTTGGGTGAAGGTTTGAGGTCTGCACATGCAAATTCTTGTTCAGCTTAACTGTGTTCTTTTGAAAAGCAAGAAGTGCCGCCACGTTTCTTTAATATGAGGCCAGCCGTGCTGCAGAACCCCTGGTTACACTGAAACAGAACTTATTCATCCGCGGATCTCTAAAGGGTACAAACCTGTCTTTCTTACTGCAGTTTGCCTGACTACAATGGAGTTTTCCATCCATCAGGGACACTACTCACACTTTCCCTTGTAACCTCTCCCAGATTCCATGCCTCTCAGCTTGCTGTGCTATTTTATCAGGGTGATCTTGATCTTGGCTCGCAGCTTGTCCAGGCACAGAGTACTGTTACACAGACCTCCTTAGTTCAGTTCAAGACCACTGTTCAGGAATTCATACTCAGGCACAATGTGAAAGACAAAAGGAAAGAGAAGAATGGACCACTTTTTTTTTGAATAATGCTTTAAAAATAAAAATAAAAATCTAAAAGCAGCAGAATTACAATTGCAACCACCAGAACTCTTTTTTTAGTGTAAGCTTTAACAAAGAGTGCCTCAGACAAAGTCTAAGGGCCAAAGAATCTTGTCTAAAGGGCAGTTAGGAAAGCCATAATGTTTCACTCAGTAGTTAGCCAATGACCTGCTCTGCTCTTGCGCTATTTAGTCCCCTAGATGTTTTCCCTTGAGTCCATTAGTGAAGCAATTTCTCACTCCTTCACCGATCTGCTGTGTAGTGTGACTGCTGGTTCAGAATGGGCTCTGCCCACACCAGTGGTGGAAGACGTGGGTCCCATCTGATAGGGGAAGATCTCTGGGCTCATTTAGTTCGGAAGGCTCTGTAGAAAATTCGAATTATGACTATTGCTACGTCACAACAATCACATGTCATCTGGGTATGAAAGTTCTAGTGCCGCGATGTTTATTTATAAAAACCTTGCAAACCTTTCACTGAAAGACTGAAGGATTTGCAGGCATGTGCTTATTACCAATCTCTAAACATCCCTGAAGCTGTGACAACACCCTAAGAAATCAAGTAAAATCAATCAGCCTGCCGTGATCTGAAAAGTGAGGCAACAAGCAATGACTTGGGCCTTAGATGAAACTTTGGTGACAATGTTAAAGAGCTCATGTTGCACAACCAGACACGCTATATTTAATAGTGGTGCTGGTTCAGAGCCCAGGCCTTCTCTTTACTAGTGCTTGCATGCTGAGCATTCTTATGGCCATCACATGCTTCGCCATAAGCCAGTCAAAGTCAAGGCAATGTCACACACACACTTCAGTCCCACTGTGTGTGTGTGTAGACTCATGTGAGCCCTCACCATGGCAACATGGCCTGTGTCTCAGGGCTGGGAATGTGACCATTTAGGTCCTTGTGCACAAAGCTGCAAGGGAACCTTCAGTAAGGGGGCGGCTAGTTTGTTGCTCTGTCACGTGCAGGCTTAGAGTCTCCCTCACACACCCTCCTGGGACAGCCAATTGGGCAGGACCGTCCGACAACATGGTGCTTTCAGCAAAGAGGCCTGGCCTGGTTATGGGCAGTGGCCTGAGAGAGGGGGAGACAAAAAAAGACCAAAAACAGAGGCCGCTTTGTAAACAGACCTGTGAAATTTCTCCCGTCATTAAAATTCAAGCGTGAGGCCTAATGTGCTGTCATTTTAGACAAAGCCACTATTATGAGTCCAACTCTGGTAAACATGTTCGCCTTCGTTAGCCCTGTCTGGAGCTCCAAAACACAACACCATGGTAGTGCTGGTGATCATGAGGATCATGAGGAAAAAAAGCCTTGAATTGACCATTCGAAGGTAAACCAAAAAATGTTTCCCACTGCAAAGCACCTAAGATACGAAACAGGAGTGCTCCTGATTGTCATAAAGTATTAGGCAGAAAGAAGACAAAAGCTTTCTGAGATCAGGTATGACAAAGTGTGCAAAATACAAATATGATCGACGTTTTAACCTTTGAATTCTGTGACATCTGCGCACTCATTTTTCTTCACCCTCGAGTCTGTTCTTTAAAATGTGCATATTTAATTCAGATAATCTTTCAATTTCTTTTATTTGGCAACACAATTAGCTCCTACATCCTCTGTGTTGGCTTCTGACATCTGAATGCATGCATGTCTTCTCTGCTCAAATCTGCTGTTTTCAATCAGAAAGAAGATACAAACCCTGGTTACAAAGCCAGGAATGAACCAGAAAATCTTGAGCATCTCCCATTTAGAATACAAAACAATTACAGAGATACATGTACACTGTGAAAAGCCAATATAATGAACGTGTCATTTAAAGCACTTTAATAACACCTAAATCAACAACTTCCATTTTGGTGGAATCCTAATGTATATACAGCAGCCTGTTAGAACAAAGGCTATGTTTTGGAGCCATTCCCAGTTGGCATTCCCACAGATGAAGGGGAAATACCTTATTGGTTGCAGTTAAGCACTGAAAATAAGCACTGAAACAAGGTTTTCCCAGAGGAACTTCCTTTTACAACAGAGAGAAGTTTAAATGAAGGTTCAGTGCAGCCCCCTTCTACAAGACACGCCTTGAGTGAGAGTCCTCTTAACCATAGAGACCCTGGGTTCAGTTCCAGACTGGTGGTGCTGTCTGCGTGGAGTTGGTATGTTCTCTCCGTGTGTGCGTGGGTTTCCTCCAGGTGCTCTGGTTTCCACCCACAGTCCAAAGACATACTGGTAGGTTGACTGGCTTCTGGGAATTCGGCCCTGGTGCGTATGCATGTCTGTGCCTGTTTGTGCGTCATACGATGTCCCATCCAGGGTGTATCTTGCCTTGTGTGCATTGCTTGCTAGCTTCCCTGCAATGCTGAATTGGATGAAACAGTTGGAAAGTGGATGGATGGATGTTTTGGTGAATTATGGCCTCCTGTCTCAACGACACCTGTATTAGAGGTGTCCAACAGATCTTGTTCAGGACTGATAAAGAAATCTATGAAGTAAACACCCTCTCTTTCTCATTTAGCATTGCCTTACGGAAAGTCTGTCATTATTTCAGATGAGCAGTTTGGGGCTCCAATATCTCTCTCAGGCCCTTTTCTAGAAATCAGGATGTGAAGTAAAAGAGAAAACCAACAGAACTGGCCCTATTCCATCACTTGCTGGGAAGTAAGTTTCCAGATTGTTTTGGAAATTGTCTTGAAATCACATTAATAGACCCTTCAGCGACGCAGGGGGGGGCTAAGTTATGATCAGACGCTTGGAACAGGACAGATGCTGGAAAGGATGCAGTGCCTGGACAGGCTAAGCTGCTCTCTTTCTCATTTCCTGCATTTTTTGGATGTCTACAAAAAACGGCTGAGCTCTCCATAAAGAAAATGAAAGGAAACCAAATAAAGACATAGGGCCCCTTATACTAGTTATGGAATCACAATAATAAAAAACAAATACATTACTTAAAGGAGTTATGAAAACAACACTGTATTATAAACCTCTGTGAATATTGAATGGCAGTGAAGTTGTTATAATAAATTGGTTGACCTTAAGGACACATTGCCTGGGGGTTAGTTAGATACTTTATTGTCCACTGCTGTGGAAATGTGTCTTCGGTACATTCTGTGCCTGCTTCAGCCTTGGGACTTGTTGAAAGGAAGGGCAGGACAAGCACTACAATCGGTTTGCCTGAGGTGAAGCACAGGGGTGAATAAGCTTCACCAGAGGATTGCCAAGTGATTTATTACTCCAGAATAAACATGCCACCGTGACCATTGTAATCATAGCTACGAACCAGAGGCCCTGGCAGCTGAAAACAAAGCATTGACCCTACTGCCCTGTTGTAGTGCAGCTACAGCAGGCACTGTTCTGGAAGTTATGTTATAGAGGTCCAAACCATATACATAAAAAAGACTGCAAGGTGTTTTGTGTGTGGCTGCTAACTGCGGGGTCACTGTCAAATTCAGAACAAGCTGTTTCTATGATCTGTTACATGGTGAGACAGAGCTGCACAGTTGGCATACGACAATAGGAGCTCAGAAGGAGCATTACAGAGAAAGATACCGTGATTGTGGTGAATAAATAAGAATCCCTACACTTACAGTACATAGCACACTCCACTCAAAGTGCTTTACAGGTACTGGGGACTCCTCTCCACCACCACCAGTGTATAGTCCCACCTGGATGCTCACCACACATCAGCCCTCAGTGGGGAGGAGAACAAATTAATGAAGCTGGTTCATAGATGGGGATTATTAGGAGGCCATGTTTGCTAAAGACCAGGGGAAATTTGTTCAGGACACCGAGGTAACACCCCTACTCTTTTCACGAAACACCCTGAGATTTTTAATGACCATGGAGAGTCAGGATGTCGGTTTTACGTCTCATCTGAAGGACGGTGCCTTTTTGACAGTATAGTGTCCCCGTCACTATACTGGGGCATTAGGATCCACATAGACCGCAGGGTGAGCGCCCCCTACTGACCCTACTAACACCACTTCCTCTTCCAGCAGCAGCCTTAGCTTTCCCAGGAGGTCTCCCATCCAGGTACTGACCAGGCTCACGCCTGCTGACCTTCAGTGGGCTGCCAGTGGTGAGTTGCAGGGTGATATAGATTAAATCATGTTCCCGCTCCATTTAGTAACTCAAACGTGATTTTTGTTTTTCAATAATACATATTGACGTCACACGTTTAAGCCGAGCTTAACCTCTTTAATCTCAACAGGCACGGGGCCAGGACAGAGTTTTTCACATCCTAGCCAGTACATACAGGGTCTGTATTAAAATGAGCTAAAAAGAGTGGGACTGTCCAATTGTTTCCACTGTACTTCTCTGCCCATTGTATAAACATCCAATCTCAGCATCACCATCCACCATCTAAGACTCGATGCATTAGATTAAACTACTTAATATGGATGTTAGTGTCTGCTCTATTTTATGTTTGGTGCTTCGCTGGTGTTGTACTAGGTCTGCTCAAAAGATGCTCAACTTTCAGTTGGCTGGGAGTTGTTTCACTCAGCGGTTAACAGAAAATTCAGGTGGGTCGATCTCACCTGGCTTCCCCTCCCAAGCCAGCCCCAGCACACCGCTGTAGTCCCGGTTGGTCAGCAGGTAGGACAGACAGTACTTGTCCCAGTTTGTTTCAGAGAACAGCATCAGGAGCTTCTCTGGCCCAATAAACGCAGGGTAGAGCGGACTGGAAGGGTCATCTTCTGTAATAATCTGAGAGAAACCACGCACGTGAAACCTCAAACTGAGGATGCTTCAAACGAATGTTAAAATATCTAAAAAGATTACTCTTAACATTTGTGACCGCTTGCACTTTCACAATGGTGTTCATAAGCAAGCATCCCAGAGGCTTCCTTTAAGACGAGTATGAGAAAACACTGCTGAATTCACCTCCTACAAGGATTCCAGATCACAAACATCCGCTACTGTATCTAGCCTTGACTAGAAAATCCTGTTCTCGCACGGAAAGTGTAGCTTAGAGCAATGTATTCAACAGAAAGTGGATGGCACTGAATCTTCCTGCTCCACCGGGTTGCCTGTTGGTGTGGTAGAATTCACTGGACTGTCCTGGGGTGGTACTGAGTGTTTCGGGGCTGGGAGGTGCTCAACTCCTTGCAGGCGTGAGCTGTGCTTGCCACACTGCTGGTTTGACATGGACTACAAGGTATATTGTTAAGCTCTGCAGATGGTCCCCTAGAATGATGCCTATAGTGTAGTTGGAGTTGAGAGCCCAAGCATGTTATCAGGTAGTATTATCAGTAGTGTTATCGCTTGGGTAGCATTTAGCAGCCTATGGAGGAGAGGAATTCACCACCGCCGGACGAGGCACTGGGAGGCTCATGGGGTTGAGAGGAATGAGAGGCCGTGTTCAAATCCGAGCAGGAGAACAGCTGCCCTCACCACATGTGTGGAAGGTGCTCTTCACAAAAAACCGACTGGGCTGAAACTGTGGCTTAAAGGATGTCAATCCAACTGATTTCTCAGTAACTTCACTGATGTTTTTTAACAGAAAATGATTTTAAAAAGGTACAATTTAAAATATTTATTTGTGTTTAGAAGGAAAATGCAAGAGGTCTTGAGCAGGAACTACAAGACAGCGGTATTCTAGCAAAGGAGTGAAAGGCCCCAGCCCACAGCAGGAGGGGAACATGTCGTAAGAGGATCAGATCGGGATATAGCTTTCACAGAGGGCTGGAGGCCATTTGGCACTAGTTCATATGGTATTCAGTGGCTAAGTGATACACAGATCTCATCCAGCTGTTTCTTGAAATAAGTCCTGGTACAGAGAACCTCCAATCTGTACAGGTTGCTTAGCTTAAATTGCCTTTCTTGCCTGCCATCACTATATCATGCCTTTACCATGCTTTCTGTGATCCCCTAGCCCAAGAAAAGAGTACTTACTTCTAATAATTTGACTTTGAAGTTGATCAGCCTGATGCCCTCAAAATCTGCTCTGTGATAAATGTCATTCACGGCTCTGATGTAGCTCCCCACCTGAAAAATCAAAACAGACGTGTCAGGAAGAACGAAAAAAAATCGACAATGCGATCAGATCTTGAAGCCCTTTTGGTTAATGGCTGACTACCTACAACAGGTGTTAAAATCAATGATTTGCAACCAAAGCTACAACACTGAAAAAATGTACATTTCTGGTCTAACATGCTGTTATATGGGCTATGCACTGCATGGGCCAAAAAAACAGTCCTTGAAATAATTGTACTAGCATATCCATGTAATTTAAAGTTGTAGCGAGTATTTCATAATTTGATTGGTACCTATATTCATGACTTGAGTATATTATAATACTTGGACATGAATGGAGTTTCAAACACAAGTTTGGGAGGAGTTCAACATGTGATCTTGCTGTGACGCTTGTTATTCCTGTTTCCTCCACATGTTCTTTCTCCTCCATAATAAAGCTGGGGGACCAAGAAAAATTAAAAACCCTTTTAGATCTTGTGGCTTTAACATCGCAGAGTCAGCTGCAACAACATAACTCCCATGGGGTGACGCTTGCTCATCAACCATCTTCTGCTGCAAGGGACCAAAACATCCTGGAGTCATAGTGAGGCAAGACTCCACAGTGTGTGAAGATTACTCTCAGCTTTGTCATTGCTCACTGAAGTTCACAAGGAAAAACGACAACCCAGGCAGAAAATGCATTATGAATGTTCATGTGGAAAAGATAAGACAAAGAGTTTTTGGCCGAAGCCACTTGGCTGAAGATCAACCACCTGGCTATAGGACAAGGAGGTCAGGAGAAAGTGTCCAAAGGGAGAGGAGTGGAGCAGGAACGCAATAAGATGAATGTGAGGCTTTCCTTGACTCCTTAGAGCATTTGGGGAAATGCTGTCTTGGAGGGTTGGAAGATAGAGCAGCGTTTAAAGAAAAGGAATCACTGTTCTTCCCCCCCGAACTGTCGTTACAAACTCCATAAGTGTGAATGGGCCCAAGAACCTCCTGGTCCAGCTTCTTCTTGCCCAGTCACCCCTGCTACTGTTCATTTCACTGGTGCGTGCGGACCATCGCGCAGGGGGCTGATGGGAAGAGAATGGGAAAGTCCCGCAAGGCCTCCTGGTAAATAAGAACAATTAACATACGAACGGGGATGCCAAGGGAGAAAGAGTGGAAGATGATGACTGAGCATGCTTCACCACATTTAAACAACTGCATCCCTTGTGGAAATGATCAACATGGTGCACCTCAATGGAAAATCAGGAGGTACAACGAAGCAAATAACAAAATGTCGACAACGTACAAACTCGTTATAATATAAATGCATACCCATTGCTCTCCAGATTTATTTATAGCCCTGTTGAAACAGCAACAAAAAACATCACATTCTCATTATGAGAATGCTGTATTTAACTCATTATACTATGTGTATTTGTTCCTATTCCATTGAAGGTATGAATAAAGTTGGAGGGCACCATATGTGGCTGATTTCCAAATCAGGGGCTCGCATTAGAGAAAGAATCTCAAAGCTGTAGTGCTAACGGAAAGACCAAGAAAAATACAGACAATCAAATAAAGCAGCTGTCATTAAAGATGAAACTGATGATCCCCCAAGCACCTCCTGTCAGTAACCAACAAGCCATCCAAGCCTTTATCTCTGAGAGGGTCATGTCAAGCAAAGAACTTTTCCTGGAAGTGTAGGATGTAGATCAGGGTTAAAAGCAACAGTACTGTTCTCCGTTTGGATAGTGTAACGAACAGTTCTTTCCGGGCCCTATGCGGACGACACAATCCGACGAAGTGGGGGAACACTGGGGAAACGTCATGCAGGAAAACGGGGCTGAAGACGGGGGGGCGTGTCCAAGGTGCGCTGGTGCACGGGGAGGTGTGGCCGAGGCGAACAATCCCAAAGAATAATCCATAGAGTATCCAAAACACGAAGGTAAGTCCAAAACCAGGAGATCCATCAGAACTCGGAATTAAAACCACGAAGGCCGGGTCGGAACCGGCGGACGGGGAACAGGAACGGGAACGGAGGTTAAAACCTTAACGGGACCAGGCGCTTCCTGGTCCCGGACTCGCACGATATGGAAATCAGATGCAGAGCCCGGATGAGCGTCAGCGCCTGGCTTTTAAGGTGGGCAGGGAATGGGAAACAGGTGCAGAGAATGAAGTCTTTAGTGAAAGGGCTGGAGCACCCTTAAGGAGGGGGGACTATAGTCGTGACAGATAGGGCACTATCCAATCATGGGGCTATACGACAAGTGTTACAAAAATCTAAAAATAAAACCTTGTTTTAGTTTGACTGACATTGCAGTATAAAATCCACTCTGTGTGTTATTGAGACAAGCACAGCACACCCAGAAGGGCAATAATTATGCCGCACAGACAAAACCCCTTCTGCAAGGCTGAAGGTATGAACAAGTTTGCCATCTAACCATCAAATTCTGAAACTGCCCAGACTTTCTGGGGACAGAGGTGAAGATTTGATCTGCTTCTCTTTTCATTCCCTACAATTATTCCTATTGGAGATATTTACACTTTATTGTAAATAAATTACAAATTGCTGAAGCATCCTGCAGAGGAAAACTTGTTTCATAGCTCTGGTCTCATGCCTGCTTTTGCGCTCCAAGAAACATGAGTGTTGAGACTGCTTCTTACAGGACTACAGAGAAATGTCTGTGCACTTCGAGCTCTTTGACACTCCCACTGCACCGAGAAGAAACTGGCAGAGCTTTTTAGTCATTCGATAAGGATGGGAACACAGTGCTTTTTCCCTAAAGCCATTATTACTTCATGTTCTTGACTTGATGAGTGAGGGGGTGGTAGCAGTACATTTGTTTATTACTATTTTCCCCATTGGAACATTCGCCAATATTAAACGGCAATATGAATGATATGTAGGCGTCCTCCCACATCACAGTTCATGAAATTAGAAAAGGATTCCACTTTATCACAATGTTGCTTACTTGTGAACTAATGAACCAGAAAGGCCTGTGTCTTCTGTCTGGAAACACCAGTCACCTGGGCAGGAGTTCAGAATAAGTACCCCTGGAACATGCTGGACTATCACAAACACAGTTTTTACATTTTAAAATAATGTGGCTGCAGACCTACTCTGCACTGGAGGGAAAGGAATGGCAGGTCAGGTCAAAGGTCAGCTTTGAGCTTAAGGTGGGGAGTTTCAAAAAGGACATCTCTCCACAGCTGCCTGAGGCTAACATGCTGTACCCCAACAATCAACCTTTCTTGTACATACATGCACATGTTCTAGGAGCGCCATTTTCCCTTCCTTTTGATGATGGCATAAAAATAAAACGATGATCCTACATGCTCTGGAGCAGTATTTCACAATCCTGGTGACCCCCACACCCGTGGGTTTTCAGTCCACCCGAGCTCTCAGTTACACAATCAAACTCTTCATCAATCTCATAATTAATAAGATTAATTTGACGTGTTTGTTCGCAGCTCTTAAACATGTTGGAGCTTTAACTATTGTATCCTGAAAGTGAAATAAAATCCCCAAACTTGTGACTTGAAGCAAAAGGCAAATAGGCAATTGAAACAACTTCTTAGGTCAATTCATTATTTAATTAAGGTGGGTTGGAATGAAAACCAGGATTTTTCATGTCTAATTTGGCCTCGACATTTCTTTTTGCAGAAACAGCCATGTAATCGCCAAAGTCCATGCAGAGCTTTCCATCCAAACTGCAGTCCACCTCAAGTCAGACGTGTGCCACACTGTAGAGTCTGCAGAGGCAGTGGAAGCAACATTATAGTGGGATTTTTCGATCTCGCTGCACTCCTGACAGACGCCGACCCAGCGAGGACAGGGGGGGGTGGGAGGGAGGTTGGGCGATCTTGCTGTTGGGAAACGCAGCACGCCAGACAGCCCTGAGGAAACACCAGGCCCCTGCGATGAACCGCGCAGGGCAGAGGGCACCAGCGAGCGCAATGTGCTGGCACTGGCCCTGCCGCTGCAGCTGAAACTGGTCAGCCTGGAATGGCGCCAGCAGGCTGGCATCTCCCTCTCTGTGTAAAGATCAGGGGGAGCTGGCAGTCAGCAATGCCAGCCTTGAGCAGCATGGGCACCCAGCCAAGATAACTGGATCTGTAACAGGAGCTCCATGCACTTGTGTAACACACACAGAGAGTCCCCCTGGTCCTTACACCTTCACTGATTATGCTTCCTCTTCAAACATGCTATTACTATAAGCACTGCTGCAACAGCAGGAATGATAACGATATACTGCAGCCTTTTTAAACGTTTGGGACCCCCAGCTGATGAAGAAGAATTGAATCAACTGTAAATTAAACCTGCATGCTTGCTAAAGCTTCAAAGCTTTGGAAGTTTATCAGCCTAAGTTACTACATAAAGGAATATCCACAACAGTCTGATCTTGCATATTGTCAAGCGGCTCAGAAAAAACAGATGCTTTTAATAATAATCATAATAATAATAATTACATATCCATAGCAAACCTGACACACTGTACTGTACTAGTTGTAGTCTTCTTGGAGTTCTGGCTTGAGAAAGCGGAGAGTATGTAAAGCAGATTTTACAGAGAAGCTAAATCCATATAAAACATATTATAGCTGCCAGCGACAGGAGACTGAGAGAATGCAGCTGCATATGTGTTTGGTTAAATACTTCTGGCAATAGCAGATCTCATTCCATCTCTTCAGACCTCTTTTGGTCCTGCAATTGATTTATATTGAACTACAGTGTGAGCAGACGTATTTTTAGAAACAGGGCTTGGAGAGACTGGTCTTCTCGAGTTAAATAAGAGTAACTAGAGAATCCAGCTGTGATCCAGCTGTGATGACCAACCAGAGCACAGAGCTCAGGAGGGAAAACACTGATACCACTGCACAGGTTGAAAGCACAGGACACGGATCCTGAAAAGAGTAGCTGAAGTGTACAGTGGACACAGGTTGCTATTATCCCCAACACCCTTACTTCCCATCCTATGCAATCACTACTTTTTCCGGTGTGACATCCATTTTCCATTTGATCCCAACCAGGGTCTTATTTTCGCCACGGTTTCGGAGCATGCCCGAACAGTGTTCATGCTGCATTAAAAGCAAGAAGAGGCGAGAGCTCTGCCCCAGCGATAAACCTGTAATCTGAAAAAATGAAGTCAGACCTTCGATGCGAAACTTGACAGGAAAAAACATACCTGGCGGCTCAAGTTAATACACATTTTAAACAAGATAATCATGAAAATTCAGTTTCTCTCAGTGCCACGTGTTTTGAATTACATATTACTGGGATTGACTTCATTAAAATCTGATTGATGCAGAGATAATATTCTACGGCCCTTTTCCCTTTCTTGTAGCTGGATTTTAGATTTATTTGTAGTCCTTTACTGGACGCAGTAATTTAATTTCAGTGATACTGAAATCCTCTTAAGATATTTCATAAGACGCAATATTTCTTAAGACGCAAATGCAGTAAGACTTCTAAAGACCCACGACAGTGCTGAAGAAATTAATTAACTGAAATTAGACACTAAAATAAAAAATAAAAGGCAATGAAGATGTCTTGAAAAATATAAGACTTTCAGTGTCACGATACAAAAAAAGTTCACTTCTGATGTTTTTTGGCTTCTTCAGCAGAACACAGTTTATGCATAAATGAAGGTGTGTAGGAAACAATATGTATGTTATCCTATAGGGTGATGTCACTCAACCTTGATGCATGCAGTTCTACTGTGTCAGATTTACCTAATGTGCAACAAAAGTTTTAATTCACCCCAAATTAATTTTGCAAAACATCTGGTGTCATCACAAAAGGGATTATCAATGAATTCACAGAATTTAACTTCCCAAACAGCTGAGAAGCTGAGAAGAAAGAGATAAGTTAGCATAGATCTCAGACTTCAAACATCCTTTGGATGGGAATTAAACTATAGAGGATTAGGACAAAAGTCATTCGAGATTCAGCTCATTCATTTCTCATGTCAAGAGAAATTATTAACAATAAAAGTGCTAATCCAACCTCAAACAAATAATACTTTAATAATCATAGCAACCATCAGTTTCAGTGTAAGAGATATGTAATTCTTACTCAGAGTTTAAGGCATAAAAATAAAACAAATATGCCATTATTATCCTGCACTTTTGAAAGGGTCCCATTCAACCATTGAATTAACATAACCAAAATTGACTATAGTCCAGAAGATACATTTATAAATTAAACCACAAGACTCTTCTGTGGTTTGCACCTTTGCCTCCAGCATTATACAGCACCTGTGTGACACATGAATTGATTCCAAACACATTTGGCACCTCAAAAGAATTCTATGGCCTGAACTTCTGCAAAATCGTAATTACCATTTGGTCTCCTGATCTGACAGAAAATCACAAAAAAATGACAGAAAATGCACTACCTATGCTCATCCTGAAAGCTCCAAACTCTTCCACTGTTTTATTAAAACACATTAAAACACACTTTACTAGTTCGAGATAAAGCTGACTGCAAGCCTTCTTGTAAAATAATTTCTCATTGGTGAAGATAGAAATGTAAAGATATAAAATGATTAGGATACAAAAACAATCACACTTGGGAAAGGGTTTGTTAAGATACAGTTCGATATAATAGATACATCTTTTGAAACCAGTGAAAAACGTAATCTAAGGGGAAGATAAGAATTTTATACAGGAATATTATTGCTCATTACTGTCTTGATCATGAATAGCCTATTAAAATATGCAAGAAACAGATGAAAATCTTAATGAGAGCAGTAGGAAAGTTGTAGGAAACAGCAAAACAATTCCAATCATAATCTACTGCAGTAAATTTCCAAGGAAGCTGTATAACATTAGGCTGTTAAACCACAGGTCAATAAACTTTTTCTGTTAAGTTAACCAAAGTTCCCTATGCGTACACAGTGTTCAGAGACCTGCTGTGAAAATATAACAGGTTAAGGTTACTGCAAGAAAAAAGGCATAGATAACTGTGATACACCTTGTGATTTTTTTTAGATTTTCACAACTGAGTATGCATCACAAATGCTGCAGACAGAACTTAAATCTACAGAGAACATGTGTCTGCAGCAAAGCTAAATGTCTTGTGTTCGTCATGACCCTCTGTGATTCTTCCAGTTTCAGTTGGAATCATATTTAATTATTTGGGGATCTGGACAAGTAAGGAAATACCATCTTTGATAGCTATACTGCATATGAATTCTTCAGCATGGTACTGGGGTAAAAGATGATTGGCTACAAATATAAAACTTTTTTTCTGCAGCCCCGCAGGAGGGTAGATATCGTACTGCACATTGTCCAACACAGCTCACCTGTGCCACGATGGCTTCCACACTCCCAAACTTCTTGAAGTAGAGGTGGTCTGTGCGCAGGTGGAGTGTGCAGCTGGTTTTAGAGGAGTCCACTGTCCTCCGGGATCTGGACATGGCCTGCCCCATGTGAGGAAACATTTACAGGACATGACAACAAGACGACAGGTTTGGGATTGCTGGCGCTTAGCATCACACGCTGTTACAAAGCTGTCACACCCAACAAATGCCAAACCGAATATTTTAATTGCACTCCCCTGTACAGATCTAAATGCACGTGCAAGGACATAACTAGAAACTTGTTTAAAACATCTAGTCTACATGGCACTAAAACACTTGGCACATCTCTTCAAATGCATGGAATGTATAGCCCAGCCACACTGTGACAATCACCATGCAGTGTTTCCAACCTAAGACTAGCACTGCCACAGCATCCCTTCCTAAAGGCATCCTAAAAAGAGAAATAGTGAAGGAGAATTTGCAATCTGTTACAAAACACCAAGAATAAACAGCTTGTAAATTAAGAGTCATGGGTGTTGACAGGGTGTTTATAGCAGAGTTTAACCATTAACCCTTTTCAGTTAAGTTTGCTTATCTATTACCAGTGTTTACATATAATTTGCAGACAGTTTATTCCTGGATATTACTTCCTCATAAATAAGAAATCAGTGTCACTCTTTAGTTAAAGGTAACCATTGGCAATCTATGCAACAGCCTTGATATGAGCCATGGTAGGTGGCCTTGAACTGAGTGAGAGGTCATGAATTACTGGCAAATACTACCACTATTATAGTGGACTGCAGTAACCTGTGTACAAGCCCAGGAGCAGAAAGGTAAGAGCAGCAAAGACCTTCAATGGCATCTAGCCCAGGAATAAAAGCCAACAGTAAAGTTACAGCACTACAGGAATCAATAATTAGCTTAAAGTTTAGTGAATCAATTTTCTGTTTAAAGGTGTAGCCTCCAGTCACACAGTATTATATTTTAGTATGATTAACTGTCACTCCCCTGTTCACATTATCGTCTCCCGTATCGCAGAACACATGTGCAGTAAGGGTACAAGGAGAGCACAAAAAAATATTTTTTTTAAGCATAGATATTTTTTTTATTGTTATTATTACTAGGATAATTATTTCTCATTTAAAATATATTGATACATATTTGCATATACTGTTTGTCCAAAAAATCTTCTGGGGACGGCTCAAAACAACAAAAAAAGCAGTTTTGTCTGAAAACCAGTTAAAACAGAAGCAATATTAATTTGTCTTTTATAACTTGTGTTTTCGCTTTTACTCATCCTTCACTGGCTAAAGATCTGAATGCTGCATTTACTGTTCAGGTTATGCAAAGGGAAGACGCGAGCCAGCAGCTGTATGGTAATGCGAGACAATTAATTGCAATAATAATATTGGTTGTTACTTGTCTTTACTACGTGGTTAAACATTCTAAAACAAGGCCTGGAAATACTGGAGCACTAATATAGAGGGATCCCGGTTTGTTTTGTTCCAAATGAGCCGATGTCTGACCTGGTTAGAGCTGTCCTGTGTGAAGCGCAGGAGTCTTCTTGAGCCACAGAAACCCGCCCCGCCGTTTCTCAGAGGAGAGGAATCTGGAAAAGCAGACGGGATTAAAAAGCAGGACAGACACCGGAGGCCCGATCAAAGATATGGGGGATTCTCACCCGTCCAGAACAGGTCGGTAGTTCCTCAAACCCAACCAAAGAACTAAATAAGAAGGAAGCAGAACTGATTGTGTTTTAGAACACTGGAGTAAGAACATTTGACAAAGCCTCAATTTCTACATTGTTTAGTTGTTACAGGATGTTTTTTTTGTCTGTCTTACTTTTCAGAAAAACAAAACTGTCAATATTTAATGGAAGCTTTACCTGCTTGGAAGTAAAATGGCATTTTTTTCTGCTAAGCAACCGTCCTAAGATGTAAGATATACTGTCAGTCATTCATTCTGCCTAATTCTGAGTTGATATCTATTGTCAGCTGGAGACCGTGGCTAGAAGGTTCCTCTGCTCAGACTGACTGACTGCACCCTGAAATCTCATTGTTTTAGAAACATGAATTGGCAGTTACTACTACCAAACCATTCCCACAGTCTCACACCTTACCAAGCAAGAGGCATTGAAGTGGACTACATACTGTAGGCTGTGATTTGACATTTTCCTGCTTGTCCTTCAAGAGAGACCGTTGCAAACCTCAGATGACCTCACTGTTAAAACCCACTTGTTTTTATGCAGACACATCTGTGTCCAACAGGTGTTCAAATTCAAACATTTCCGAACCCTGTGCGTTATTAAAAATTGCATATGACGTTCTCTTCCAATGACACTGGATCCTGATTCAACCCACTGTCCACAGACATCCGAAACCCCTCAGTCTGCTAACAACCCAAAACTTACAGTCCACAGCCACCAGAAACCCCACGGTCCACAGACACTAGTCAATTCAGAGATTCCACCCCCTCTTGAGCTTAATGGCAGAAGGTCGTCTGTGCATTCTGTCCCTGACCTTGTAACACTCAGAGTCCTTGACTTTCCAAGGCAGTCCGAAATAATCTGCACTTGGGTAACAATATTGTACTGAAGCCAAACAATGTTTTGCTTGGATAGCACTCAGAAACTTGTTACATTGTGAAAATCAGCTGAATGCAACTTTTAAACTGTTGCAAGAACAAAAACAAGTTCAGGGCAAATGCTGTCCAATGAAGGAGCAGAACCCTGGTGATTATGACCTTTTCTCAGACAGTGGTGAGAGGCTTTGGGGTTTAATAAGGTCTGGAGAGTCAGAAAGTATGAACAAATCCAGAAAAGCCTTACTCTAGCATGCTAAAGCATGACAGAGAGAAATGTGAGAAACACACCATGTCTCTCATGCAGCTTATCCAGAGGAAGCTGTAGCATGTGGTTTCTCCACACTTATGGATCAAAGAAGGATGTTGCAAACTTGCTTCAGTGGATCAAGTGCTGAAAACCCAAAAGGAATGCAATGACTTCTGTTCAGTACAATAATACAGCCAGTATATCAGGAAAGTGATCTCACTTTTTCTCCCAAGAGAAGCTCCACAGAAGGTGACTCACGCTATCCCAGAAGGAAAAACGTGCCTCCACAAAACACTGAATCAAATTCCATGTGAGAATCCTTCTGTGCACTATAAAGCTGGATTTTTCTAAACCCTTAGGCAGCTGTATTTTGCAGAGCTAAAACAATGGCTGTGCTCATTATGCTCATAAACTCATAAATACTGATAAACCAGGAAAACCACTTCCTCCCCCTGGCTGCCCACCACACCTCCGAGCCGAAACCTCAGGTGAAAGACCAGCATTGCTCCTCTGGAATGGCCTGTGCTACAATTTCTCAGTTGTACACAACCATCTGATTTGGACTGGGGCAGCAAAAGACTGCACTTTCTGACACCTTTCAAAACCCTATACAGTACTTGTCTTAATGTGATCTCGTCTATAATATGTTAATTTTGAGTGCACAGAGCAACAAAACACCCTTCTTTCGGGGGGGGGGGGACCTTGGCGGAGGCAGGGCTGGTCACTGGGATTGGCACCAGCACACTGGCAGAGGGTGCACACGCGCTGCTTCTTGAGTAAACAAGCTGAGACACCGTACGACTGAGTCACGCCAC